AAAATAATATTAAAGAACCAGGAGAAATTATCCACTGCTGAAGAGGCAGGAGTAAATCAAAATTGATTCTTATGTGTTAGATGCGTTGTTACCTGCAGTAGTCAGTGAGCTCAAATGGCACCGCAGAAGAACTGGCCATCTCTGGGATGGCTGGTCAAGAGGATCTGTTCCAGGTTCTCTGAGAGACTGCGCATGAGCAGTTCAAAACTGAAATGGAAAATTGTGTTTTAACAGTAGCACCAAATCTAAGGACTTCCCCCTAATGGCTCATTTACTAGGATTCAAAGAAAGGCCACCTCATTCCCGGGTAGGAAAGCAAGCACAAAGTATGTCTCACCTGACTCTTTCACTCACTCATTTGACTCACGTCACATGGTTGTTGCTGAAGACCTGATGATAATCTCAGACTTTGAGCAAAAATGGGCATAACAACAGTTCTGCTGAGCAGAAAGCGAAACAGAGGCAGCAGAGCAGAAGCTTAGCAACACATCTCAAAACACACTTTTTGTCCCTGCAAACAACCCAGATGGTTTGACTGGTCATTTTAAAAACCCCTCATAAACCCAGGCATTTCAAGACTTCTAAAAGAAATCTCAGGGAAGCTGGAACATTACATGACATGCTGGGACATGGGGTTTCTTTTGTTACGAGTATTCGGCTCCAGACTTAAACTGCACCAGTTTAAGATCATATTGTATTTTTTACCAGCTATTGATTCATTTTGTGGTCTAAAGACCTGAGGAAAAAGGTAGTTAGCCTCCTAAGAGAAAACACCAAAGACCCAGGGCAGAAGACAGCAAGGACGCAGCTGTTGATGTACCACCTAGGCTGTGAATAGTGATGGACCTGAAATAGCCGGCAGCATCTCCCAGCTCATGGCCTTTTCACCTGAGCTGCCTCAGAGCAATTCTGCAGCCCAGAATACGTGTTGTGCAAGAATGAGTGTACGACAGCAGGAAGGATGAGAGCAGAGCCAGGATCTGCCCATTCCTCTGCTATTGACAGCCTCCTCACGAAAATGTAATTGCTGGCTGCCCTTGGCTTGGAGTACTCAGGGCAAAATTTCTCCCTTTCTCTTTAGAGCTTTGAGACATATTAATGCAACTTTTAAAATAGCATCCTCTCTATTTTCATTGCTAATGCTAAGAACAAATTAGCTTAGAAGAAAAAAACTCCAATGATCTTCCTTAATGCTATTGTTCTCCTAAAGTGCTAAATGTCAGGATCTCACAGCACCACGTTGCAGATCTGGCGTTGCCCTCAATGTGTCCCACGATGCCTTGATGTGGAGTGATGCAGAGCGCTGTTCTGAAAAACATAATCAGTCCAAAGTGTCTTCAAAGTCACTGTACTTAGAGCAGAACTGGCAATGGTTTCAGCTCTATCTTTGAATTTGTTATCGTTAAATGTTATTTGAAACCGACGCTGATTGCTACCCTGCCCTCCAGCAGGATTGTTAAGGGACAGCCCTGAAGTTTAGGGCCATGTGTGATCGTTCCAGTGGTAGATCAGTGGGCACTTCTGAGCTCTTATGGACTGTTAAGTCCATTCAATTATATTTACCTAAAATGCCTTACATGTTTCTCACTGGAGCCCATCAGTGGTGCAGAGGCAGTCACCATGGAAGTAGGAGGACCTCCAGAGGGCAGCAAGGTAGGGCTGGAGAGCTGGTCCTGACACGGGATTTGTCGTGTCCCTGTAAGCAGCAAAACCCAGTGGCCCCCACACCACGGCAGGGTGCCCGTGTCCTTCACTGAGCTACAGTCTGCACCTCAGACAGCAACTCCTGTTGGGGTTGGAGAAATAGGAAGAAATGAGGCAGACAGCAATACCCCGTTTGGGTATTACTTGGCCAGAGGTTTCCCTCCATGGGAGGTTAGGGTGAGCTGAAAGCAACCAGGTGACTTTATTTTACTGAGTCCTTACCCCACACATCCTACCTACATGGGCCAGTATCTCCAGCAGACCTATGTAACAGGCAGATCCTGATGAGCCCCCTTGGCTTGTGGCTGTACCATCAGTACTGAGGGTTAGGTGACCTCACTAAAGCATCTTAAGATCTATAATCATTTCAGTAACATCCTGTGGCAGAGGGAGGCTTCCCATGGACAGTGCTCTGAAGGGAAGGGAAACAAATTCCACTTAGTGCTTTTAATCCTGCTTCTATTCATGATCACAAGAAAACTCTCCTCCAATATTGCAGCATCCTGCAGTTGATGCCAAGATCTCTGACCTGTGCGTGTCTCACCCTTTTAAGATCCAGGCAGTGCTAGGCTTATTTGTGCCTTCCAGTCTGGCCAGTAAAAGTTTAGTTGGTGGTCCCGGTTTAGTTCTGCTGCAAAGTAGTTCTCACCCTCAGTCTATCGATGGCCAACTGCTTAGTCCTAATTCTGGCTCACCACTTACTGAATGCATAATTTAAATTCTCATTGTAGAAGTGCATTTTTAGTCCGTTGCCATTTTAGTTCTGGATCTACTCAGTGCTGATTGGGATTTTGTTAAACATTTTGTTAACACATACAGCGTTAATGCCAGGTGCTGCCTCTGTCCCTCGCCTGACTCAGCTCCTGAGATGAGTGAGTGCATGCTGGAAGACCTTCTTAGCCCATTTGCATTTTCTAATTAAGTTAATCTCACAGTTCCAGTTGAGTTCTGTGTCTGACATAAATGCATTGTTCTTGTTACTGGTGGTAAAGTGATGGGTTCTGGTGCCCATGAATTAAAATAGCTCAGGAAGTAGCGTGGGAGAATCCAATCACATGGGCCGGGTCTGAAGAGAAACTTTTCCAAAGGGAAGTAAGAATTCAAGCAGGAAAACTGATCACAGAATGTGTGGGTTGAAAAGGACCTTAAAGATCATCCAATTCCACCCCCTGCCATGGGCAGGGACACCTCCCACCAGCCCAGGTTGCTCAAAGCCTCATCCAGCCTGGCCTTGAACCTCTCCAGGGATGGGGCATCCACAGCTTCTCTGGCCACCCTGGGTCACTGCCTCACCACCCACTACGTGAAAAATTTCCGCCTAATCATCACTGTTTCGTACAACACTGGTGTGTTAATGTACATGGACCACTTATCTGTCCCAAGGGAACTTGTCTTTTATACCTGACTGAGAAACGTGGGTCCCAGTGAGACTAAGCAGAGATTGTGTGTCTTCTCACTGCTGTGTTGCTGGTGGTATGTACCCAATAGCCACGAGTTTCACTGAAGCACTATGTTTGACATCTCTTTGGCGTTTTTTCAGGGACTCCAGGATTTAGGAGTTTCATGTGAATGATGGGTCTGTTTTACATACACTGCTTGTAAATACTTTGTATTATGGTTTGGTGCTGGGAACCCCATCACAGAGCTGCAGGGCAAGACGTATCAATAGGGATATTTTCTGCTCTTGCAAAGGATATAAACCAATCAGTCCATGCTGAGAAACCATCCCTTTCCATCCTGTTTCTTCCTTTTTTTAACAAAAGCAGGAAGAACACAAAATCAAGACTTGTAACATTGTTTGTAGATGATTTAATCTTACTATGTGCAATGACAATTGAAGCCAGTTCTGCACCAATTAGTTAATTATTTCCCTGTTAAGGGACTGAAGATGCTGGATTCAAGCCTAGAGCAAGTCTTTTGGGGGATTTCAAAGACGGTTCGGAAACATGAACAGTAGCTGTTGGCCTCCATAATCCCAGCAAAGTTTCCTAGGTAAAGGTTAAGATCACACTGTGCTGAATCTCTCCTTAAATTTTGGCTTTATTCTATGAGATGAGTTGCCTGAGGATAAGTGACCTACTACTGCCAGTTGGAGATGATCTCTGTTAACTCAGACCCTTTGTTTTTGGAGCCAAAAAAGCAGAGAGGTTCAAAACCATTGTGATGTATACATGACCCCATGACCCACTGTGTCTGTACTGTTGTCTGTTTCCATATAAAAATGCTAAATGCGGCATGACATGGCTAAAATAAAATTATTTCATTAACCAGAATGATCTAAAATATTAAATATGACCTCAGAGCTGAGAGGTCCCCAGCTGGGATCATTCTGCCAGTGATGACTAGACCAAGTCTGTAACTCAGGTCACTCTTCAGTGAAATGCGATGATTTTTGGGGGGTGTCTTTGTGATTAATAACCACCCACTCCCCAAAATCTGAAAAGGCAGACAGGTTGGGTGGATGTAAACCATTTTCTTTCCCAATATTTACCAAGTACCAGGTGTCCATTGCTTAGCTATGACATCTCTGTGGGGCTATTTATAGTAGTTTATTGATGGGGAAACTGAGGCAAGGGCAGTGTCTGACCCAGGGGAGGAGTGTTGGGCTAGTGTTAAAATTCAGCCATTCCTGGGCTCACAGTTACTACAGAGAGCACATGCTTTTTCACTAATTGTCCTGTATACCTGCACTCTTACAACTCAGATCCTGGTCTATGCAGCATTTTAAGCAGCAAGAGGTGCAGCTTGTGATGCTGACAATCCTGGTGTAGCAGGGCTTGACACGAGGGGCTGGGGGGCCATGTGGGTCACCCCATGCCTGTGTGTGCTCATGCCTGCACGGGGAGAAGGGTGATCCCTGGTGGTGTGGTTACTCTGCTATTTTGTTCTGTTTCTGGAATAGTTTTGAAAAAATAACAAAATGGGAGTTGCTCTGCTGGGGTCGGATCCTGCCCTTAGTTTTCTCCTGCCTGCTTCCTGACCTCACCCAGCTGGGCAGAGGAGAGGGGGCATCAAAACCTGGAGGTGTAAGGGGAAATTTGCCCCTCACAAAAAAA